GTCTGACTACCAAATTTCAAACCCGAGACACGACATATTGTTAAACCATGTTGTTCGTAGAGTTGAGTTATATTATTGTTGTTTGAGGACAAACAATATTTCAAGTTTGGGGGGGTTTGATAAGTGCGTTTTTACATACTTATTTTACTGTCAAAACACGAGCAATTGTTGATTAATATGTTGGAATATAACTTAATTCTATGCAATTCATGTTTTGCATGACAAACTTATGAATGCAGCGAAATTGAGGAGAAACAAGTGACAAATGGCCAAATTGGGGAAAGTGAAAGTTCAGGGACTAAAGAGCAAATACTATAAACTTGTTTCCAACCTTATAATGAAGATTCAAGAGCATTAGAGGTCAATTGGATTAAGAAATGAGTTAAATGGATGAAATATAGCTAAAACATTATCACATATCAACTTTCACGCTGAAAAATTTTGCACCGATTTTTAGCATCATATTGAGACCAGTTTTTGACAAGAAAAACGATTGAATTTGAAGATAGTTTTTGAAGAAAAGTTGTATCCCTTTAAGTTAACTTTCCAACGCAACTTGAATCAGCTCAATCGGACATTAGGAGAGAAAGTTATGGCCCAAACACGCTGCAAGGCGAGCGCCTCACACCAAGAAAACCTCGACTGAGACTGCCCAACTTCTTAAGACGCGCGCCCTAGCTTACACTAGGCGTGCGCCTCAAGCCAAAATGCGAAATTTTTCCAGTTTTCTTGTTTGATTGAAACACGTATGGAAACCTAATTTTTCACCATATTTAAACCCCAAAACGTTCCAAAACTCCTCATTCTTCATTCTACACCATTCATTCATTGATTTGCTCAAAAAACACATGAGAAACTAAAGATCTTGGTGAAGCTACGAAGGAACTCGGTTGAAATTGGTGATTGCATATCTTTTATTCAGTTATTTTGATCTTTTCATTATCAAACAATGCTAGAATTTATGTTTTCATTCTTATAAATTTACATTGAAATTGGTTTAATTTTTATTAGATTTTTCATGGATTCAGTCATACTTTTTCCATTGTTTAATCGAAATATTTGTTGAATTTGAATTTTATGAATATATGTTGAGTTTGATTTAACTTTTATTAAATTAATCATAGATTCAGTCATGCTATTTCTATCGACGAATTGAATTAATTGTTGAATTGAAATCTCAACTATTTTATTGGTGTGATTCATTTACTACTTTATGCTTAAAGTATATGATCGATTTATGAATCTAATTTGAATAAAATTGTGTAAACATGTCATAAATCTAGATTCTATGATTATATTTGTAAAATAAATTGGTTTTCACGAATAAATCTTTAAATTAGAGTGTCGGGATGAAAGCCTCTAATTGAGTTATAAAACTGAATAATTGATATGAATGATCCAATCCAACCGAGAGAATTCCGATACTTCACTGTTTTAAATTATTGGTTTTTAACTTCATTTTTTCAATATTGAATTCAACTATACTCTTGAGAGAACAATCCATCCCTTTTGGATCCTTTAAACATTTTTCCATCTTCCTGTGGATACGACACCCCAAAGATACACTACAATTACCGCGTTATTCTTTGAGCGTAATCATCTAGAGGCGTCCTTGGATTGTCTCAGAAAACCTACATTGATCGAGTTTTGAGTAGGTTTAATATGCATTCTTGGTCGCCTGGAAAAAGCACCTATTGTGAAAGGTGATACATTTTATAAGTCTTAATGCCCTAAGGATGATAATAAGAGAACTCAAATGCAAACCATTCCATATTCTTCAGTTGTGGGCAGTTTGATGTATGCTCAAGTATGTACACGGCCTGATATTGCTTATGTTGTCGATGTACTTGGGAGATACTTGAGTGATCCTAGTTTGGCTCACTGGAAGGCTGCAAAGAAAGTACTTAGATACTTGCAGGGCACTAAAGATCTAATGCTTACATATCGGCGATCTGACATTCTTGATGTTGTTGGATATTCTGATGCCGATTTTGCAAGTTGTTTGGATGATAGAAGATCTACTTCTGGTTATGTTTTTATGATGACAGGAGGAGCTGTTTCTTGGAAAAGTGTTAAATATACACTTGTAGTTTCCTCTACAATAGAGGACAAGTATGTAGCTTGTTATGAGGCTACTTGTCAAGCTATATGGTTATAGAATTTTATTTTGGGGTTAGGTGTTGTGAACACCATTTCGAGGCTGCTGAAGATATTCTGTGATAATTCTGCAGTAGTTGCTTTCTCTCGAAACACTAGAAACTCTTCGCGTTCCAAGCATATTGATATTAAATTTTTGTTTGTTAGAGAGAAAATAACCTAATCTTATATTTGTATTGAGCATATTTCGACAAATCATATGTTAGCTGACCCACTAACTAAAGGTTTGGCTCCAAAATTGTTTCAGGAGCATGTGACTCATTTGGGATTGTTAAAGTCTTATGTTGAATTTAGTTAGTGGGAGCTCTGTAATCATTGCTAGTTTAATATATTGTTTATGCTCATATTCTGTTTTGTCTTCTAAATATGGCGATGTTTTATGTATATATTGAGACATTTTGGTAAGTCTCGTGCCTGAGTCACGTGCATTTTTGACAAGGCAGATTTATGTATTGAGACATTTTGGTTAGTCTCGTGCCTGAGTCACGTGCATTTTTGACAAGGCAGATTTATGTATTGAGACATTTTGATTAGTCTTATGCTTGAGTCATGCGCATTATGGACAAGGTGTGTTATCTGTAAGAGACAATATGTGTTTAGTCCATGTCTAAGTCTGACAGTTGTAAGTATATGTTTAGTGTCATATACCATGTCGGTATAGTCATTAAGCTATGTGCTACATCTGTATTTTGGTTAAGACTTATCGTTTTAAAGATATTCAGATTTGTCTCTAGGGCTTCTTATGGAAACATGTGTTTATCACTCTTTTGATATTTTCCATATTGTTTTTGCATCTCATTGGTTTATGTTACGTGATTTCAAGTATTGGTCATGTGTTGTATATCGTGTCGGTATATCATTCACTAACTTGAATTTGTAGACACATTTTGAAGAAAACCTTTAAGTTTTGAGATGCTTGTTTGTATTTATGTAGTGATTAAATGTAATGTTGTCCAAGTGAGAGATTGTTATAATTTATGGACTGCATTTCATGTAGTCATTTTTAAGCCCATAATGGGATGGGCCCTTTCATTAACACATGTGGAGCCCATACTCTCAACCCCACTTAAAATAGAAGTAGTCTATTGACTTCTGTTGAGATATATCTTTGCCCTATCACTCTCTCACAAGTTTTTACGTGCAGAAGAAAAAGAAAAGGGGTTTTGAGATTATTATCTCCACAAAAGGGTATTTTCTCTTCTTGTAGGAACCCTAATTGCTACATGAAAAATCAATATCAACCTATTGGAGGTATGCTTCTTTTCAATTGTTGAACACATGCTATGATTTATGAGAAGAACTTATTACATTTATTAATTTTTAACAATGCATGGGCAGGATTTCTCGACAACATGCGCTGCCTAAAACTCATTGTGAAATCGACTCAAAACTTCTTGAAGTATTCTTTCAAACTTGTGGACAAAGTATTCTGCAACGGCGCAGTGATTTACTTGACAGAAGAACTGCATGGCCAGGATTTCTTGACAGCATGTGCTGCCTATGAGTGCATGGGATTTCTCAACAACATGCACGGGATTGCTAATGGGTGTGCGAGATTTCTCGACAGCCTCCGCAGAAATTGATCCGATGGCAAGGACGGAAACGGCAGACTTGGACTGTCGCCAGAACAGTGCGTGGGAATGCACAAATGTTGCCTAGCTGACTTTAGTCCAAAATTTGGATGTCACAATTTGTTCACATTTGATGGTCAAGGTCAAAATCAGACACAAGAATGGCACATGAGTGACTGTTGAAAGCTGTTTGGCTGAGTGCTTAAATAATGGAACAATTTGGCTTAGTGGTAGGCTAAAACCTCTGTATAACTACCCCTTTGCAATTGGGGTGTCAACTGCATACAAAATTCTATATATTTGGCTAAGGCAGCAATTATGGAGTTTGTGTTGGCCGTATGTTTTGTAATTGAGTAATAAAGTCAACAAAAATGCTTCATGTATGCTGTTTAGTCTCTAATTTTCTACATTTCCTATAAAGTTATCTTGCTCGTTTTGGAATATTTTGTGCAAGCCCCGTGAGTTTTTAGGCCGTTGAGGCACGAAGCCTCGGGGTCATCGCAGGCTGTCTTCAATTATCGTTTGAAACCTGTAATAACATCCAAGATCTATACAAAGTATACTCATATTGATAAATAAGGGATATAGTAGTTGATTGATTGCTTTGATAGGATCATTTGTGCTTTTCATCAAACACTAGTATGACAAAGAACGAAAAGTGTGTTTGCTCAAAATCCAGCATACAGATTTTAAAATACAAAAACAAATTGGAGTTTTAGTAAAGAGTGAAGTTCCTTCAACAAACTACTCCAAACCTCTACAAAAAGATATAACGAATAAATGCACCTTAACTCAGACAAACAATACACTGTAATCTCATGTACAAAGCCAAAGCTTGTTATGTTAGCAAGAGTGAAATTATTATTATTTCTGATAAAAGTTACCAGCAAGTGCAAACGCTTTCCACAAACAAAATCAGTAGTATCTCACTTCTCTCGAATGAGCTAAACAGATGGATCAGGAATTGATAACAAAAACAGAGTAAAAAAGTTAGATGAAAAATTTAAAACGCCAGGTTCAGGAAGAGATTAAATAAAATATTGATATGAGAAAATTTCAGGATCAAAGTTCAAGCCAACTGATGCTTGTTTTAAGCGGTCAATGAGAACCAACAAAATGAGTTAAAGCATCCACTTCAATTATTTTTACAACACATTAAAAACCACCAAAATAAGCCGCCAAAAGAAAAAGCATTGAGCATTGCATGTCAAAGTGTAATGCCCCTCATTCCTATTTATTGCTCCCAAATTATGGGTAAACAGAACCATCCACTTATGGCTTGAGGGCCAAGGCTAATCCAAACTTGGCGCTCTTGTCAATAGACTTGGTGTCCACTTCAGTTGAAACAGTGATGAGAGACTTTGGCCGCCACTCATGCTGGAGCAGAGCACTTGCCTTCCCAAAGTTGTTCACTCTCGCCTTGACCGTGGTCAATGGATCCAAAAGGTGTTGCGTACCAACGGTGATGGTATTTTCGTTTGTGGTGAAGCTATGGGTAACCTCTGCACCAACAGCAGTGTTGGTCAATGGACTTACTGTGTGGTAGTATGATCCGCTCAGTGTGTCACCCTTGTCATTCCTGAATCAACAAAACCTGGCCATTAGCATCTGTATCCAAAACGTAACAGAGCATATAGGATAGCAGAGCCCCAAAGCAAATCGGGGAAACCACTTACAAAGTCAAAGAAGCAATCAGATCAGCATTTGTGAAGCTTGCTCCAAAGTTGCATTTGGTAAAAGCTCCTTCTTTAGTGTCAAAAGACACGTCTGATCCCAAAGCAAGGGTATTATTTCCAAGAACACCAGAAAAGTTAACAATGGGGTTAGCTGTCAACCCAATGCTTGAGCTTATCCCAGCATACTCGTGCAAGTATTGCACTTCCAACTGCCGTGGAAGTTGTGACAAAAATAATTAGAGGTAAATTACACACGACAAGCATGTGTTAAAACATTAAATACAAAACCCCTCACCTTTCCAGACCTTTGATCAGGAACTCTAAAGTTCAAAATGGCCTTTAACCCAGGAGCAGGTTCGTCAATTGTAACGGTGGTAAAGAGCTGGCAATGGCTTCATTAGTCAGTTATATAATTCACCAAAGCACAAATCCATTTAACGGTATTTATAAATATGTAAGAAATGTCGACAAAAGCACACAAAAGAATAAAAAATCTAAGCTTAACATTGCTTCAAGTAAATGAAACTTCAATATATTGCAAAACACAAGATGGTAAGAATACTGATAAACGTACATTGGAGCTTGTATCAACTTTAACATCTGTCGTGATATTCTTGTGTTTTAACTGAGCATTGATATCAGCCAAAAACAGTTCCCCTTTTTTTGTTCCTGTTGAAGTGAGGGCCTACAGTTGGAGAAAATAAAGAAATACTTGTTCAAAATTGTGGTCATACTACAGTGATAATGATATCAAGACATAGCATCCATCCATAAATGATAATGGCCGCAATCAGACCTGAACACTATGATAGTCAATAGACTTACAAATCTAATCTAAAAATCACATTCCATACAAGTGATCAATAGTGCATAACAAACTGCCTTCAAGATATAACTAGGAGTAGGAAAAATCAATTAGTCAGATAAATCCAACATCACATCCATCTGTTCAACAAACAGCACGAGAGTAACTGAATACCCAAAAAAAGAAAAAAATAAATAAAAAATGAAGAAGCAAAAAATGGGGGAGAAAATATCACAATGAAAAAAGAATTTGACAGTTTCATATAGTTGTTTATTATTTTACACCAGAAGATTTTATATTGAAAATGCTCCAAGTATAAATTAAAATCAGCCAGCAAACAGATAATCTATATAAATCGTACATTCAATTGGAAATTCCAATAACAAGTAAAAATGGTGACTTAAGTTCAACTTAAGCACCAGTTTGAGCCCAATTTTTAAAACTCATTTTTTTCCCAAGCTCATTTTCTACCCCCACATTCTTTAAATAAAATAAATTAGCACATAAACTCAAAAAATTTTCCCATACTTTTTAACTCCACGATCTCTAAACAATTCACTTTTTACAAAATTTATTCTCAACAAATGTGGCTCAAACAGGGGCTAAATTAGTTAAACAATTGGATATGTGTAACACCAGCAACGAAATTATTAAATGAATTTCTTCAAAACTTAAATACCGAAAGTCCTGGGGAAAAATCAGTAGCGTATAAGATTCTAAAGCATGTATCTACACCGACATATCCAGGAACACAAGACCTATATACTCCATTCCTATAATCTCAAAACCGCTAGAGTATATTAGCAATCGGTATCTCTTTAAAGTGTACGACAGAAACATGTAAAGTCAACTATCCCAGCGCCCTGGATAGAAAAGAACTCACGAAGCTATCGAAATCAATACTACTTAAAGAATTCAGGACGGCACAATCACTTCAAGAAGAACCAATCAAATTCAGTAAATCTAAAATTACAATCCCTAACTCCAGCAAAAACTAATAAGATCTATATAAAAATAATTAAAAAAATACAAACAAAAAACTCACAACTCCAGTAGAAGAGTAGGTGGTAATGGTGAACTTCTGGTCGCTCTGGTAGTCCCTGTACAACAGATCTATTCCAAACAAAAACCAGATCAGAAAACAATTTCCCTGAAAACTAAAAAGTGTCAAAATCGCAAAAAATAAAAGTAAATAAGCCGTAGTTGAAATTTAGAACGCAACCTCGAGCCCTTTTGCCAATATCTGAGTAAAGCCCTGGACCCTTGCCCATGATTTTTAACCCTAAAATTGAAGGAAAAAAATTCCCAGAATCAAAATGTAGAGAGCGGAAGCGAGTCTGTGGAGGAGAGGAATATATATTGAAATAATGCCCTAATTTTGGTCTGTATATTGAAGGGTGTGCACCGTGTTTTTCTTGGAATCTGGGCGGTCGATGGGGGAGGAAAGGGTGCCTCGGTTGTATCCGGGCCGTTGATTTATGTGTTGGAAAAGCAAGATACATTTCATTTTGAGGGGTACTTTGGGGATTTAATGATGGTGTGGCACGTGGATAATATGCTGACGGCCAAAGTGAAAACGGAAGTTGGGCTGAGGGTTTGCTTTCTTGGGTCATAAGATATCGTAACGTGAATTGTTCCCCAAGAAAATGTTTTCAAAATTAAAAAAAGGGGGAATTTAGTACAAAAGTTTTTTAATTCGAAATTAAAAAATAAAAATAAAAAAAATCAATGCTTTGTGTGAAGGAAAATTAATGAGTCATTCATTTTCAATTTGGTGCAATCAGATAACTCAACTTCGATTTGCTTACAATTTTAATCACTTGTCTTCAATTCGATGCAATCAAGTCACCTAACTTTGATTTGTTTGCAAATCTATTCGTTCTATGAATTGTACAATCAATAAAGATAATATTATATGTTGATCTGAACATTAAAACTAATTTATGACTATCATATATGTCCACGTCAACCAACAAAACACATTTTTATGCATCGACTATTCATTATTTTTAATCGAGATGGCATATTTTATTAATTAAACTGAATACTGGGCAAAATGACCAGATCTACAAGTAAATCTCTGTAGAATGAGTTGATTGCACCAAATTGAAGATAAGTGATCTAAATGCACCTCCAATCAAAATTGCACGGCTTTCGCATTCTTGAATAGATGGCTATCGGATTATTAATTCGAACTTATTGCACCACTTTAGCATTCTTTTTTATAATAACAATAACATGGTTTGCCCATTTACATGGTGTCATGTTTCCTTGCTAAATGCTTGAAATTACAAATTGTGTGGTGGATTCTTATTCCATTGACATGTGCATATCATCTACTATGTATTTATTTTGCTAATCACTGATCTGATTTCTAAATATAAAGTTGATAGCTTCAATACTGTAAAATCGAATGACAACAGCAAGGCGACCCGCAGAGTATCAACCAGTTGACAACTTCAATACTGTAACTCGATTATCCCGTTCTTTCCTAAGTTTGCATCTTTACTTCCTAATGGAAAACCGGACGCTGCAAGCACATTTGTTTGTTATGTCTCATGCAATAAAGCTATAAAACTACTTAAAGGCAATGTTACCAATACCTTGTTTATAATGCCAACAGGAAGTAGTAGGCTAATGCAATTGGCACAGCTATCAGCAAACCAAAGACTACCCTACAAACAGAAAGAAATACGAGTTTTAAAATATCTATGGTTTCTGAGAAGTTACACTTGTTAAAATACAAAGGAAGAATTTGGTACCCTGTGCTGAGTATGTCGGGATGTATGTTATATTCTTTAGCGAATACGAATGGAACTATCCCTTGAGGTAGAGCTGCCTGTGTCACAAGATACATTAAAAACTTTTGTCTATGTGCTAAGTTTTTTGAAAGAAATACTTGTGTTACCTGCACTATTGCCACTTTGAGTAAAGTTCCTCTTAATCTGAGTGTGATTGAGGACACAGCCATGAGGCCTGGTCCTGCTAAAAATTTCATTACCATGGCGAATACTGCTTTCCGGGCTCCACATGCTACCACACTAGCTTGTGATGCTATGAAGAGGCCTAAGCTGAACATAGCCATTCCCAATCCTCCATCAGCCAATATTGATATCGAATTCTCAACCACTTTCGGAAACTGTACTCCCCACCTGCAGTGACGACGAGGCTCAAATCTTATCTACAAGGTTATGTGTAGAATTTTCTCATTGATTGTGTGCTCTCTTATTACCTGAAGTGTATGATTGCCCATACAAGACCTGTCAAGGTGGCATAAGTATTGGGATTGGTGATTAGCTTTCTTCCAACTGTCGAAAGAATGATCAAGTTCTTTGTTTTTCTTGGATTTCTAATTCTTACATCTTCAATGCCTTCATCTTTTGGTTCTACTCCTTGTGGAGCCTCCAACTCTTTCAAAAAAATATTTGTCATGCTTTTCAATTAATGAGAAAGAACACAAATAACAGAGTTAAACAAATGGTTCATGCATGGTGATATCCAAGTAGGAGCTTGGAATTGAAATGGGAGAAGGGCAATTCATAAGGATTTCAGTTCATGTATTCTTGATCGAACAAGAAAAGAAGGATTTGTCACGAAGATTCTTGCACTCTAGAATATCTAAGTAAATGCAAATACATCTTTCTTCGCTGTTCCACTTCAAAAAAACGTTGTTCGTCGAATGATCCTTCGATGTTACTCTCAGAATTATGTGCAGCAAAGTCATCATCACGGTCTTGTATAGGCCTATTACATGTAACTATCTATCCCCTTAATAAGGTGTACTTTTAAAGAGGACCAGATATGTGATTTTAACTAGTCATGTTTTTCAATACAGAAAGGTATTGGCTTGCGGGAGGCTAAGACAGAACCCTGAAGAGGTAGAAATCTGGAAGTGTCAAATATTGAAAGGGACTCATCTTTCTAGAGACATTGGCCCAACACCAAAGCTACAGAGTGTGCCTCGAAGGTCTCAGTGAAATGGGGTAGAGTTCTTGGAGGTACCGTTCTTAGAAGAAAGGTTTGTGCTTCCATCGAGTGATTGGAATGCAAATACAATCTATCAAAGACCCCCTGTTATTGCTCGTAACTCTTTCCTCTGTACTAAGATTTGATTCACTCTTTCAGTCTATCCACGTTCCTAGACTAGATGAAATGGAAGAACTGACTTGGATACGAATTAATGTTACGTTTCTGTCTTTTTTGAGACGGGAAAACTCAAAACTGGAGGTCCCAAATAAATAGTTCAAAGTAAAAAGCTTAAAAGATCGCTGTACATACCTGTTCCATCTGATGTTGTTGTCCCATAGGATTCTTTTGTGGCTTCAACCTCATAGAGAATTAACAAAAGATTATTCCAAATTATGCTTTGTAGTACAACTATCTGGGAAAGAATCATTACTGCTTCATCCTTGTACATTGCCCTTAACAGTGGGATTCCTAAAACTAATGTATTAGGCAATGTTGACAAAGAAACACCAGTTATAACCCAACTCAGGCTTCCTCGGGATCTTATTTTGGCGACTACTGCCAGTGGGATGAAAGCAAGAAGCTTTTGAAGGAAATCTGCACATGCAAGTTTCAAGTTCATTTTGTAGGGATTGTTTGTTGAGATCACTTGGAATGACAAAAGAGGGATCGAAAATTTTGCCACAAACGTGTTGATGCCGATGCATTGATCTGGTGTAAACAGCTTCCACCATTTAAGAGAAACATAGGCTACGATCATGGCAACGTACAATGGGACGATTGCAGCCATAACATGGTAGACATCAGTTAAGGTTATCATGGCTCTCACTATTTTGAAAACCCCTGTTGTTGAGCCTATATATGCGTTCCCGAAGGAAAAAAGTGGGACATTGCTTTATTGCATAAGCTTCTTCGATCTTCATACCGCTGGACTAATTCCTCGGTAAATTACATCAGTCTTTCATCATGATCATTAGTTATCAAAAGTGAAAAAGTTGATTCCATGTGTGTGTGCCTATGTCCTTTTTGACTAATTGGTTTTAGACCTACTAAACCTAGATTAGTAGACTTAAATGTACACCCCATTCTGGAAGTAAAAATGAAATTTTATGCATTATTTACACACTAAATAAAGTTGATACTGCAGGTGTCTTAATCAATAGCTTGAAATTTTCTGCCTGATTTTCGGGAAAAGGGCATATGGGAGAATAAAGAAGTGCATTGCAATGGAAGTAAGCCAGATTTTGAGTAAATAACTGTATTGAAGAAAGAATTTTTGCTTAATATGGTAAAAGATGTGAGAATGAGTGTTGTGGGCAATTGCTTACTAAAGTTTGAAATTTTACCTGAAAAAAGGGTTCATATCTGTTTCTTCTGATTCTTTGTTTGTGATTGTTAACATTTCAATTGTGAAGACATGGCAGATAAAATAAAGAAGGTTTTCCGCCTTTGTTTGTGACTTGCGGTCTGGTAGTTTCACTATGTTTTCGTCCGTGACTGTCCTAACGTCTTTGTTGACTATTGTACAGATTATTTCTTGAGGGACTTAATTACTCTTCTTACATAGCTTAGGTCCTTCTTTGTAATAAAAGTACAGTTTGTTTTTATTGTTTTGAGTCTGTTTCATTTTACCTCCTTTTTCCTTCCAGATATTTATCTGGAGGTAACAACATGCTTGAGCTAAAGAGTAAAATGAATAAAATTGGTGATTCCTTCTACTTTAACATGGTATCAGAGCAATAGATTCTGGAATTCCAGAACCCCAAGCTGCATATCCAGTAAAGGAGGAGGAAGATTAGCTCAGAACTGAGCTACCATGGCTTGGAATCAAAATGTAGATCTGCTTCCTGCAGAACTAGAAAATGGAAGGCAGAATTAAATAAACACTTCGATCCGTTATTTCTTCATAGTTCGGATCATCCAAGGATGACGTTGGTGACAGCGCCATTAACTGGTAAGAATTTTCTAGCATGGAGTAGATCAGTCAAAATTGCTCTTGGAGCGAAGATGAAGTTAGGGCTTATTGACGGGAGTGTTGAAACGCTTGAGAAAACTTCACCAAATTACGAAAATTGGTTGAGAGTCAACTATATGATCACTTCGTGGCTACTGATCTCTATTTCAAAAGAGACTGTCGAAGCCTTCCTCTACACCAGCACTGCTAGAGAGTTATGGATGGAGATTGAAGAGAGGTTTGGAACTTGTAATGGACCTATGTTATATCAAATCCAGCGGGAAATCAGTTCTATTTCACAAGGCAATATATCTATTTCAGAATATTACACGAAATTGAAGAGACTCTGGGATGAATTAACCTTTCTGATGCCTATACCTGAATGCACCTGTGATTCAGCCAAATCAGTATCAGAAATTACCTCGTTCAATAGACTTATGCAATTCCTAATGGGATTGAATGATGAATATGAACATACACCAAGCCAAATTTTAGTTATGGATCCTTTGCCACCAGTCAATAAAGCTTATTCCATGATTCAAAGAGTGGAAAAATAGAAGGAAATTCAAATATCCTATGGAGACCATAATGAAGTTAGTGCTATGAATGTTAAAGCTCACGGGTATAAGAAGTTTGGAGGAGGAAGAGGATATGGCAGGAAGTCTGAAATAACTAAAGAAGAAAAAGAGAAATCAGTTTTGCACAAATTGCAATATCACAGGACATAATAGAGAGTCTTGTTTTAAAATGATTGGGTACCCGCACTAGTTCAAACAACCGAGTGAATAGAAGAAAAGGCTGCAGGAAAATTCATATCGTACATGGCAGATTCACCATTGGAATTGGGAAATGAAGTTAATACTGGAGGAATTGAAGGCCAATATAAAACCATGAATATTTCAGAGATTATCAAACAGGAACTCAAGAAAATGGTGAATGAGAAAGGAACCAGTTCTGGAGGCAAAGTGAATTTTGCTCATATAGATGATTTTGCAGGTTCAACTCTTAAACTTGATATTCATTCTACTCTAAGTGCTTCCAATGAAATAGGATCTAAGTCTTGGATTGTAGATACTGGAGCCTCCAATCACATGTGCAATGACATTTTATCATTAAAAAATCATATACCTACAAACAAAACCTTTCATGTGTTCTTACCTGATGGTACTGTGAATTTTGTCAAACATTTTGGTAATGTTCATTTACATGACAGCCTTATCCTCACAAATACTCTCCATATTCCTACCTTCAGATTTAACCTCTTATCAGTAAGTAGATTAACCAAAGCTTTAAACCTGAAATTCATTTTCATGAAGAATCATTGCATTTTGCAGGACCTCTTGACTGAGAAAATACTAGCTATAGGAAGGTTGATAAAGAACTTGTATATACTTGACCAGACATCCTTCAATCCATCTACCATTGAATCGTTCATTTCTGTTTCCTGTAATGCTTTCTCTTCAATTAACTCTTCTTTTGCTGGCATTAATGAAACCAAAGGTGAATCAGTTATCCTTTGGCATAGGAGACTTGGCCATGTGTCTAGCAATATAATGCAACGTCTGAAACCGATGAGACCTTTTAATAAAGTAATCCTTTCACCTTGTGATGTTTGTTCTTTCTCCAAACAGCATAGATTATCCTTCAATAGCTGTGATATTAAGACCTCTGGCATTTTTGAAATTTTACATGTGGACTTATGGGGACCGTATAAACATAGGGCTATTTGTGGTGCACACCATTTCTTGACTGTGGTGGATGATTTTAGTAGATGCACTTGGACTTTTTTAATCAAACACAAAACGTAAGTTCTCATTACTTTAAAGAATTTTCACAAAATGGTCAAAACCCAATTTGAAAGAGGCATAAAATGCTTGAGAACTGATAATGGAACTAAGTTCACAAATTTTGAATTACAAAATTTTTTGGCTGAGAATGGGATTTTACATCAAAAAAGTTGCCCTTACACGTCTCAACAAAACGGAGTTGTTGAGAGGAAACATAAGCATCTCTTGCAAATAGCTAGAGCACTTATGTTTCAGTCGTATTTACCAAAAAAATTTTGGGGAGATTCGATTTTAATGGCAACACACATCATAAATAAATTGCCAACTACCTTGCTTAACTGGAAAATACCATATGAAATTTTACACGAAAAGTTGCCCACTTATCAAAACCTAAGAGTGTTTGGAAGTTTGTGTTATGATACTAACACTAAACCATTTAAAGAAAAATTTGCATCACGTAGTTTTAAATGTATTTTGCTTGGTTACAGCACATGGCAAAAGGGCTTTAAACTCTTTGATATCATGAATAAGCAGATTTTTATATCTATGGATGTTATTTTCCACGAGAATATTTTTCCTTACAAAAAGATTCATGATTCCAGCCCTTTTATCCCTATACCAGTGTTTGATATATTTTCTGAAGATATTTCATCAGATACCGCTTATCTTGAAAACCAAATTGATGCTCAACCTCCTTCTGTTAGCTCACATGTTCTTAACTAACCTATGGCTACTTATGATCTCAGTCAAAAACAAGTCAGTCAATCTACTGATTCCTTAAATTCCACCTCCAACCAAATGATTCATAACCAGATTTTTCCTCAAGCAAGAAAGAGTACCAAAACAAAAACAGCCCCTACATGGATGCAGGATTTTGTAAGCAACTTGTCATCTTCTACTCCCTTATCTGATCATCTTCTCAAGCCATCGAAATCATCTCCTCACACTCCTAATACTTATCCTTTCAATAAGTCTCTGAATTTTGCCCCAAATTATTGTTATTTTCTGGCTAACATCTCTACAATCCAAGAACCCAAATCTTATAAAGAGGCTAGCACAAAGACATAATGGATTCAAACAATGGAGCGTGAACTTGCAACACTGGAACAGAACCAAACCTAGGAAATTATTTCTCTGCCTCAAGGAAAGAATCCTATTGGGACAAAATGGGTTTACAAAGCTAAACTAAAACCTAATGGGAGCCTTGACAGATGTAAGGCCAGACTAGTGGCAAAGGGGTATAATCAAATGGCTGGTGTTGACTATGTTGATAGCTTCTCACCTGTGGTAAAATCAGTGACTATCAGAATGTTCTTTGCTATTTCTTCTGCACAGAATTGGCCCATATTCCAGCTAGATATAAATAATGCATTCTTACACGGCTTTGTTGACGAAGAGATTTATTTGAGGCCTCTAGACAGATACAAAAAACTTAAGGAATGACAGGTATGCAAACTCAAGAGATCGCTCTATGGTTTGAAACAGGCTAGCCGGCAGTGGAACTCAGAATTCTGTAAACACTTGCACCTCTATGGCTACGCACAATCAGCACATGATATTTGTCTATTCATTCTCCATTCAGATTAGGCTATCATGGCTCTTCTTGTCTATGTGGATGATGTGCTCATCACTGGGACGGATGACAGGGAAATGCAGAAGGTTAAGGATTTTCTTGACACTACCTTCACTATCAAAGATTTGGGACTTGCTAAATATTTCTTAGGAATAGAAATAGCTCGTTGCCCAGAGGGTCTTTATCTTAACCAAAGGAAGTACGTTATGGATATTGTTACTGATGCTGGTCTGATTAGGTCGAAACCTGTGGATATCCCATTGCCAAAAGGTCATAAGTTCAGTGCTGGGGGTGTTTTATATCATCAACCTGATCAGTATAGAAGACTTGTAGGTTGATTACTCCATCTTAATCTTACCAGACCTGATTTATCTTATGATGTTCAGCAACTCAGTCAATTAGTTAACTCCCCTACCATTTCTCACTGGGAATCTGCATTACATTTACTGAAATACATCAAAGGAACTTTATCCAAGGGTCTTTTCTTTCCTTCTTCTAACAGTTTTCAGTTTACAGCTTACTGTGATGCAGACTGGGCTTCTTGTTCAGATTCTAGAAAGTCTTTGACTGGTTATTGTATTTTTTTGGGTGGTGCTCTTATCTCCTGGAGGTCGAAGAAGCAGCATACCGTTTCGCGTAGCTCTGCTGAAGCTGAATATCGAAGTATGGCTGCTACTGTATGTGAACTTCAGTGGATCACTTATCTTCTTCGCGATTTTTGCATTGCCCCGATTCTTCCAATTCCTCTCTGGTGTGACAACCAGACCGCTCTTCACATTACCGCCAACCCGGTCCTCCATGAACGGACGAAGCATTTGGAAATCGATTGCCATGTGGTTCGTAATCAATACAAGGTTGGTCTCATTCATCCTCAACATGTCTCTTCCGCCAATCAAGCTACAGATCTTTTTACAAAGTCTTTTCCATCTCCTCAATTCCGGTTTTTACTTTCCAAGATGGGATTGATGGACTTTCATCAATCTCCAATTTGAGGGGGGATGTACAGATTATTTCTTGAGGGACTTAATTACTCTTCTTACATAGCTTAGGTCCTTCTTTGTAATAAAAGTATAGTTCGTTTTTGTTGTTTTGAGTCTATTTCATTTTACCTCCTTTTTCCTTGGTCTATAAATAGACCTCCGTTGATGTACCTTGAGCTAGAGAGTAAAATGAATAAAATTGGTGATTCCTTCTACTTTAACAACTATCATTTTTGTTCGAGGCGAGCTTGATAAGTTGGCACAAGCTAAGAAGTGTCCAATTTTGGTTAGTTTAGCTAGCGAATCGAGCTAATTTTGTCACAATTTCTAAATAGTTCTACTTGTGCTGCTCGGTACAAAATGCTGTTTGAATTCTTGAAATTGAACAAAAGAAAGTTCGGTCGAATCATAAAAAGTGAAGATAAACATATTCTAAATATTAAATAAAGAAATGAAACCAGATCAACAATTTGGTTTGTGGTATATACACAAATTGTAACCAGTCCTCAAGTGTGTGGCCCACAACAATAGGATATATTTTAATAATCCAAAATTTCACCACCGTGAATTAAAATTAGAAGTAAAAATTATTCCTTTTTTTTTTTTACATATGAACCACAAATTAAGCACGTAGTTCATAAAATTATGGCATGACAGATGCAGAAATATGTGTAACCACCATAGGAAGGAGTGGTCCTCCGCATTGTTAGCAAACTAAGGATGTTTTGCTAAACAATTCTAGTATTTAAGCAATGCTTTCACAAATGAGAAACAATAAGGAATTTATTTGAGAATATAGTGTTGTTCGAGCAAGGGTCTGAACCCAAAGAGCTAAAGGGTTCGACCCCGCAAGAATAATATTATTGGATGCAGCACATTTATCAATTAAGAATTAAACAATGGAGGGACTAAAATTGAATAGAATTTCTCTCATATTGTTTATTGCATTTGCTGCATTTGTTCCCACACTCAAGGCTCAAATCGACAAAGTATGGGAGAGGCGGGCTCAAGAAGCCTGGAACCGAACCCTCGATTCCTACGAGCCAGATCCAGTAAAGATTGTAACTCATTTGAATGCAAATGTCCATAGGTTGGTTCATTTTTGTTTTCTATGTATATGATGATTTGCAAATTAATGATGATCTATGCATGGTTTGGCCTGCTGCAGGACCTTAAGGGAACTAGGTGCATTGGAACCAAATAGCACGAGGAGGGGACTAAGGAAGAAATATAGGGGGCCATGCATGGTGACCAACCCAATTGACAGGTGCTGGAGATGCCAACCCAATTGGGCCGATAATCGGAAGAGGCTGGCTGATTGTGGCCTTGGGTTCGGTTACAAGGCCAAAGGTGGAAAGGCAGGGCGATTCTATGTTGTCGATGATTCATCTGACAACGACATGGTGAACCCCAAACCTGGAACCCTACGTCATGCAGTGATCCAAAAGGAACCATTGTGGATCATATTCAAGCGAAGCATGGTTATTAAGCTTAACCAAGAACTTATCATGAATAGTGACAAAACAATCGATGGACGTGGTGTTGAAGTCCACATCGCTTATGGTGCCGGGATCACTATTCAATTCGTGAAGAATGTTATCATCCATGGCATTTACATTCATGACATTCATATGGGTAATGGTGGTCTAATTAGGGACTCGGTCGATCATTATGGATACAGAACTGCTAGTGATGGGGATGGAATTTCCGTCTTCACTTCTCAGGATATTTGGATTGATCACGTCTCCATGAGAGCTTGCCATGATGGCCTCATCGATGTAATTCAAGCATCTACCGGGGTCACAATCTCGAATAGCCACTTCACCGATCATAACGAGGTAATGATACATTGTATAGTCTATAACGTTTGAGCTTTTAGATGCTAACCGAACATCTGTTTTAGGTGATGCTTTTCGGTGCAAGCGATAGCTACTCTCAGGATGAGAAGATGCAAATTACGGTTGCTTTTAACCATTTTGGCAAGAGACTGGTACAAAGAATGCCAAGGTGCCGATATGGATACATCCACGTCGTTAACAACGACTACACTCATTGGAATATGTATGCCATCGGTGGAAGCCAACACCCTACCATTATTAGCCAAGGCAACCGATACATTGCACCTCCTAACAACCCCTATGCTAAGGCGGTAAGTGAAGAAGTGTTTATTGTACAGTCCAATATTGTCTAGTACTATGTACCAAACATGATGTTTACCGAGTTTTTTCATGTCAATATAGGTGACAAAGAGGGATTATGCTACCGAAGACGTATGGAAGACATGGACATGGAGATCAGAGGGAGATTTATTTTTGAGAGGAGCATATTTTGAACAGTCTGGAGATCCAAATTGGAGCAAGAAGCACTCTGAGTTTTATGATTTAATTCCAGCTTCTTCAGCCCTCCAAGTTGCAGAGATTACCAAATTTTCTGGTGCACTTCATTGCATAGTAGGAAGACCGTGTTAGAAATGAATTATTAATCTATTCATATATAAATTCAGCTTATTTTAGTCCCAAATTCAATGAGGAAATTAAGAGGACAACTACTATTATGAAAGTTTATTTGCATTATTGTGATTTTTTAAAGCTCTTGTAATATAAAAATGTGATTATATTCACACCAAAATTTTTGTTTCTCTCATCAAAATTTTTACATTTACTAAAATGATCATAAGTAAAACGACGTAAACTATCAATCCACGACATACTCATATATCTAGTGTTTTACTACACCACAATCTCATACATAAAAATCTTAACATGTACAGTTTACAAGAAAAGGTCACACATTGAAAATTCAAATTCACATCGAAATCATCTCTTTAAAAATACTATGACACCTTAGATTAAACAAAAATCAAAACGTAAATATAACTACCCAATATAAGAACATCGAGGAAATTTACGAGTTTATTTATCTTATATTTGAATTAGCCCATGTTTGACCCCTATTTCCCTTTAAAAAAGTTTTTTTTATTTAAACTCATTTTCAAATTTCAACCACCCATGAAACTTTTATTAACTTCTCAATTACGCGTTTTTCAACTTTTATCGAAATCTGTAAAAAATCTGATTTTTATCTAAATCAAACAGAACCTTAATTCCATACATTAAAATTTTATCTCGACTATGTTCAATGAATGAGATACATATGCAAAGGGTAACATGAATCCTAGCTTGTTATATATATCAACAACGTGAAGTCATTAGTGAAAACTTTTAATTCGATAAGAAGATGAGGTATCAATCTTGACAAAAATAAAGTAATAGTGAGCTACTGGGTTAATTTCACAAACAATCACTGAAATTTAAAACTTGCAGAAACGGTCACTAAAGTTTAAATTTCTTTCACAAACGGTCACTGAATTTTCAGATTTTT